CTTTATTCTTTCTTATTGTTAGTATTGGCATTTTTGTCGTCGATATTTTCCAATTCCTGATCTCCTACTGATCTGAAATGAAAATGGAAAATAGGTACAGAACAATATTTTTTCTTCCAGGTTGATCCATGAAGATTGGGCTTTGATACAGGCTATAACTAAATATCAGGTATTATGAATTATTATTATTTATTAGAAATTGGCTTATTTTTACCATGGAAATAGTTGTAATTTCAATCTTAAATTTATCCAGGACTTCCTTTACTTCTGGAACCGAGTGCCCAGGCCACACAGTAAATTGGGATTTGGTGTCAGACATGGTGAATGCTGTTTCCAGGATATACAGATCACCAAAAAGTGCCGTTTGCGTTATGAAAACGTCATTGTTCCAAGAGAATTAGGTATTTACCAACCATTGCAGCAATTGAATAGCAATGCAGGAAATGCAGCAGCACAAGCACAAGGAGCAGGCAACAAGCGCTTAAGAAGAATGGAGCACCAGCTGCAAGTGGTAGAGGTAAAAACAAATAATTATTTGATTTTGAGTTGTTATTCATAATTTTTTTTTCCTCAGGGACTCCAACGTCGGGCGGTTCAGCTCGAGCTCGTGCAGGTGCCAACCAGGCTCTTTTAGGGAATTTGAATCCACAGCCCCGCACGGAGCAGCTGATTGCACAGGATAATGGTGCGGCATTTGCAAGACTTCGCAGATTGAGGATTGAAAATATAAAGGCAGTGACTGCTAGAAAACAGCAAAGTGCTGCTGGACATGCAGCTGCTGGTAGACAACAAGGCACAAATACAGCAAGTGGGAATAGTAAACATGCTCTTGTTTTTCAAGATTTTGGTATTAACTATGATATGCCTTTAAAACCTGAAGAGGTAGCTCAACGTCGTGCAGAGCGTATCGCCAAGGAGAAGCAGAAACAGCAATCAACTTTGATACAACAACAACAATTTCAACAACCAGCAGCAGCAACAGCACAATCCACCACAGGTTCAACAAGCCCTGCAGCAATCTGTACAGCAACAGTCTACGGTGCAGCAGCAACAAGTGAAGACACAGGAAGGAATAAAATACTTGCAACAGAAACCTGATGGTACCAGCGTGGCTGTGAAGCAGCAGAGTATTTCTTTGGCGAATGCTCCGATAATAATACAGCAGACAGGGACAGCTGGAGGAACAGTAGTTGTTTCACAACAGCAATTGCAACAAGCAGCTGCTGGTGGAGGCGTTTTGGTTGCTTCTGGGCCGAGCTCAGAGGATAGGTAAGATGATAATAATTTTAGTATCTCTGATTTATTTTTTATAATAATTTCTTATTCTAGTTACTACCTCCGAGCAGTCTCCAAGAAGCACTTCGCCAGCGTGTCTTGTCTTCCTCGCAGCAACAAGCTACTATTGCTGCCGGCAGTAGTTCAGGTGGCGTCGTCACAGTTGGCGGTACAGCTATTTCAGGAGGCGTTTTCGACTGCTGGTGGAATCACGCAGGCGCAGCTGCAGGCGAGATTGCATGGACAGCTGGCGCAACAGACTGTGGCTGTCGTTAGTAAATGTAAGATGGAAAATTACACTTGTTGAAAGTTTGTATTTTTTTTTGACGTTTATTTTTTTTCTTGGTTGGTGTGACTGGTGTTCCAACTTCAACTGTGACCCAGCAAGTAGGCGTAGGACAGCAGCAGCAGACGGTGGGTGTGACAAGAAGTGTGACGCCTGCGCAGTTGCTTCTATATAAGCAGAGGGCTCTTGCGCAGCATGTGCAGCAGCAACAGCAGCAGAGACCACATTTATTACATGCTGTTCAAGGTAAATAAGTGAATTTATCATTATTTTGTTAACCCAATGAAGTAATTGAGTCTTACTGATTTATAAAATTTCATGTAATTTGCAGGAAGTCCTCAGATCATTGCATCACTTACTGGTAATGCTCAAGCTGGACAGAAAGTGTCTATTGCTTCGTTTTCATCTCTTGGAGCAATAACTGTGGCACAGCCTGGCAGGGCACAGGTATAATGCATTTAAATTAAATTATATCAGGTACTATTTATAATGCAGCAATTTCTTTACATTATACTTTTTTCTATTTTCAGGTTGTAAAGCAACTAGCACCAGGTAAGCAGTCGGTAACAAGACAGTTGACAGAAGCAGACGTTACTGCTTTGCTGCTCAAGAAGCAAATGCAGCAGCAGCAACAGCTTAAGGTAAAAATCTATGCATACCAAATTAAATGATGAACAACATAAGTCCACAAAGTAATTTCGTATACTTCAAAATCGCAATTGAACTTTAAACCTATCAGAGTATATATAATAATCATTAATTACTAATAAGTTTATTACACCATTTCAGAATGCTGCTGCAGCAGGCACCAAAGCCAACGTGACGGCAAACATAGCCCTCCAGCAATCCGCAGTGTCCTCCACCAACACTGCTGCTGCCGCCGTGGTTGGCGGAAGTACATCAGCCGCCCTGACAGCTGCAGGAGGAACTGCTGTTAGAGCTACAGCGCAGCAGTTTAGACAATTGCAGCAGCAGATGGCGGCGTTGCAGCGGTCGAGGCAACAGCAGCAAGGAAAGCAGCAGCTGCAGCAGCAGTTACAGCAACACCAACAGGTAAAAGGAGATAATTGACTCTTCCTAATTCTTAATGTCAAATTTATTGGTCAAATAGAATAAAGGTACTAATACGTTTTCTGTTTCCTTTTCCCAGGTGGTGAGCAAAGCAGGTGGAACAACAACAGTCCCGGCTCAGTTAGTTCTGCAGCAGGCACCGCGATTGGCAGGAACTCAACATGTCGTAAGTCATCAGGTAATTTTATTTGCAAAAACAAAAATTTATCATATCAACTTATAAAGGACTTTTCAATAACAATTAAACATTTTAGAACAATTGTTTATTTATAGCACTTTATCTATCTTATATACATTTATTTTGTTATCTAAGTTGATATAAAATTTTTGGTTTTGTGATGTATCGAGGACTTGGATTCATGTTTTTTTTTTATATTTAGGTGATTGGAAGAGTTTCAGGTGGAACACCTTTGATTTTAGGCAAAGTTAACCAGGGAGTGGCACGGGCTCAGGGCAGACAGACAATTCAGGTAATTGATAAAGGGCTTTTAAGGATGTTTCAAAATTTGTACCTTGCAGATTTATAATTTATAATTCATTGCTTTTTTATTATTTTT